CCCTTCTGACAAACCGCCACCGCCGACGGCGGTGGGTTAAAAAATAGAGGAAATTAGCGACGGGAGGTATTATACGGCCGCGCGCGTGTGGCCCGTGCAGTACACGCCACCCGCGCTACACCAAATCGGGTCCACGATGCGTGCCTGGTATCCGACAACTGGCGATAACCGCCTCCGGAGCGAGGGGAAAGGGGGCCGCGAGGAACTCCACAGTAGCCCCTCGCCGCGACCAAGGGGCATACGGCCCCTCCGACGACGCTGACCTCTCCGTCGGGTAGCGAAGCGCCGGCGGCGTTCACGTGCTACGAGCGCGCTCTGCCCTCGCCCCGATGGCGAGGAGCGCGACGACAAGAAGAATACCGCGCGCTCTGCCCTCGCCCCGATGGCGAGGGGCGCGACGACAAGAAGAATACCGCGCGCTCTGCCCTCGCCCCGATGGCGAGGGGCGCGACGACAAGGAGAATACCGCGCGCTGTGCCCTCGCCCCGATGGCGAGGGGGCGCGACGAAGATGACACGCTCGTGGGACCTTGCCTCGGTGGAACCGGAGCGCGAGGAGCGCCGGAAAAAGTCCGCGGGGAGCGCCGCGGGCCGAGCTTGCGAGGTGCGCTCCCCGCGGACGGGAGGGAACAAGAACGAAGGATGCGAACATTCTTTATGAAGGGAATGGGACGAGTGGTCCCGGACCGGGGAACCATGCCACCTCAACGAGTGCCATCAGGACTACGGTCTAAATGCCCCGGCGGGCAGTACCCTGGATAACGCGGAACATCAGAGTTCCGCGGAGTATCCGCCGCACCCTCCTCGAGAGGAGGCATGGCGACCAGCTGGTATGAACCGCCTCCTCGTACAGGAGGTGCTGGCGCCCCTGACCCGTGCGACGTCAGGGGGACGGCCGTCGGGTCGGCATACGGGTCGGGTCGGCGAGGTGGCTGTAAGACGACTTCACGGGCCGCGGAAGCTTGGATGGCACGAAGGCTGTCCCGCTCCTGTCGATAGCGATCTCGATCCGCGACAGCGCGTTCGTACGCGCTAGCCTGAAGACGGGAAGCGCCCCACGCGGAGTCGTTTTCGCCCTGCAACCGTCGGACCGAGAGGGAGAGCGAGTCGCGCTCCCCGTTGAGGCGACGAGCCTCATTAGTCCGTGCGAGGAACCAGCTCGCCATCGTCGATAAGAGGCTGCCCACGGTCCACGCCCGGTCACCGGCGGGTCCCAAAGCCTGCGCAAGTTCGGGCACGGAGGTGATGTCCTCCCGCGAAAGAGGAAGGTCCCGAACCGCCACCCCAGGGGTCACGTCCTCGGAGGGGGGAGCTAGCGGAGGCATGGGGAGGATCGCCGGCGAGGCGACGGGTATCACCGGTTGCTCTTCTGCCTCACGGGGCGGAGTGGAACGAAACGGGTCGACACCTACCATGGCGGGAGTGAAAGGGACGGCATCCAGGTCCCGATACCGCTTGCGGCGGTTCCGCCGGGACCCTGAGCCGACACCACCCCGCCTCCCTCTCGGTCCGGCTGACTCCGGAGTCGCCGCCGGGCGAGAAGCGAACGTGTCCGTCCTTGCGTGGTACACGAGGTACGCGCAACGTACGCCCGTAGCGAAATCCGGCCAGTAGTGGTGATGACGCTCACTCACTTCGTCCGCCCGTGTCATCAACGAAACGACGCCCCGGAGCGTCCAGGAAATCTGTGAAAGGCCGCGCTCGAGCGGATGTGGCGGGACAATAGGCAAGTCGGGAGCGAGTCGCGCCAGGTACGATACGGTCTCACCAGACTGAAGAAACACGCGGCCGTGCACACTTGCTTCGGCCATAAAGGCGCTCCCGATGGACCACGCCCACTCCTTGGCACAGCTGTCGCTCAACGGAGCGCGGGCGGGGTGACCGGGGTCGATGGCCGCATACCCGAAGTGCTTGAGAACGTAAGGCAGGAGCGGATGAATACCTAGAGAAGGAAAGGTCTCGCGAACCTGACGAGGCAGCGAGGGGAAGTCCCCGGGCGAAAGCCCGTGCTCAAAGCAGGCCGACGGGAAGACGCGACCGTCTTCTTCCGAGGAGCGCCGATAAACGGACCAGTCCCGATGGGCCACGGCAATGCCGTGAAGGCGCATCAGCGTCGCCGCGGACTTCTGAAGGGCCACCCGGGGCTTCGTGTACGCGTACGGACGCGGATACACGTAGAGCCCCGGGATCTCGGCCAAGATAAAACGGGGCGGAATGTCCGGGTTGAATCCGGACAAGTAGGCCGCCATACGATCGACGTATAGAACCTCTTCCAGGCCAAACGCGAAGGTGCGATCACCCTGTATCGGGTCGGGGATTTGGTACGCCACGCCGTCTCCTTCGGCAAGAAGACGGCTGAGGGCCAGCGCGGATTGATCAGCGAGGCCGGCCTCGCTGATCTTGCGGATGCGGGACAGATCAGGGCGCAAGACCGGGCTCGCCAAGATCTCGCCAACCGTTACGCCCACGCGAGCGTAGCGCGCCCACGGATACCGGAGATCACCGAGTGGCAGCGGAGTAGATCGCAAAAGCGGTACGCCAAACCAGCGCGTCGTACTGGGGACATCGAACTCGGTCGCTCTCGTGCTGGAGCCAACAAGGGACGGGACATCAGCTCGAGAAGATCCCCCAGCGGCGGGGCCGACAGCCCTCTCAGCACCAACGGGGCGAGGTGCTCGCGACCCGCCGTCATGCTGCTCGTCGACGACGCGACTAGGGGCACTCGCCAACTCCTCGGATAGCGTGGACTCCCTCGACGGGCGTGTCCTCTGAAAGGGGGAGGTTGGCGTCGGCGTTGCAACACACCCGTCGATAAGGGGCGCGCTCGAAGCAGGAAGCGACGGCGCTTCCCCAGCGGCTTCTCGAGCCGACACAGCGACGCCCGCCAGCGGCGGCGAGGACGGCTTCAGCGTTGGTGATGGGGACATGCCGAGACAGTGTCCCAATCCTGAGGGTCGAAAAAGGTGCCAAGTGCGCGCCCGATGGCCGCACGCGAGACAGAAACCGGCGAAAAGGAAGGCGTGATCGGAAGGAACGCGGGGGAGCAGCGAGACTCTGGACGCAATGGGACCACACGGGTGGCCTCCTCAAGCAGGGTGAACGCGGACGTTCACTCTTGAGGAGGGGGCCCTGTGGTATATGCGCCGTCGATTCGATTAGGTTTAGATCAGGGGCTGTAAGGCACGAACCTTACAGCCCACACGTGTACCACACGTGTGCAGGGCGTGCGCACACACACGTGGCACACACGTGTACTGTCAGCTCGATAGCTGACAGAGCCACCGCGCCACCGCGCGCGACGACTCGCGCCGGCTACGGTAGCATGATACTGTAGTCTGGTATGATAACCGAACACTTGTACATTAAATAAGGGAGCGACCGACGGCGGAGGAAAGGGACAAGCACGGGCTTGTCCACGACCTTCCGCCTTGGTCGACAACCCACCGCTTAACCTAAAACACGAGTCCGCTCTCGCGTCTCGTTTAGGTAAGGGAACCGACGCGGGGTGCAGGCGCTACAGTGCGCGCGCGTGCAGCGATCCGCCTCCGCCCGTCGACACTCGCCTGCTACCCAGTGTCGCTCCGGGGCGTTGAGGCGTCGATCCGCCCCGCTGCGCAATCACTCGCGCCTGCCACCCTTCCCGCTCTACCACGCTACCAGGACCCGTGTCCTTTCCCTTTGCGTGTGTTCCGTCTTCCGCCGATCCGGAGTCTGCTACTGAACTGCGTGCATACACCCCCGCCGTTTGGGGGTGTTTATGCTACACTTTCATCTTCTGGTTCAGAGAACGGTAATCAACACAGAAGCGTGGATTCCCATCTTTTTTGGATACGATGACGACCGGAAAGGACCATGCGGCGCTGGAAGGCGTGATGATTCCTGCTTCCAGCATTTTGTCCAGCTCTTCCCGAACGATTTCGTTATGCAAGGGAGCCATTCTCCTCGCCGAGTGATAGATCGGATTAGTATCATCTAACTCGAAATGGTGCTTGATTGGGACTTCAGCAGGCCGAAGGTCGTCAAGGGGTGTAGCAACGATACCCTTACTCATCAGGGCGGTCTCGATGACTGCTTGGGCTTCATTGTCAAGATGCACAAGTTTTTCCCGAAGCATTTTCACGTCCTTGCTGATGGCATTCGAATCAGGTGATTCTACTTCCTCATCTTCTCCGATCGCTCCGTCCAGAGTTAAGTCTAGCTCGAAAGGTTCATCGCCGAGGATGGCGACAACATAAGTCTCTTCTTCCGACGAATTTTCTGAGGCGAATGACTCGACATCAGAAGTGAAGTCCTCACTATCAGTCTCCGAATCCGCGACGATAGGACTTACTTGATCAAACTCCAGACTCATTTTCACGGTTTTGTTTCCGATCAACATACTAACAGACTAGTGACCTAGATCGATGCAGGCTTGAAGTTCTTCAAGAGTTGGATACCCGATTAAGATATCAACTGGGGATCCTTCAACAACCAAGAAGTTGAGTGAAGTAACAGCGCCATTGAACGTGACAGGAACTTCCTCGATGGAACCTAAGCAGGTTGTCTTTTGTCCATTGGCGACCGTAATCTTCGTCGAGGTCGGCTTTGGAGACAGAGAGAGCTTCGATGCCACAGACGCATTCATGACATTAGGGATAGCTCCTGAGTCCAACAACGCTCTCATTTGTGTCCCGTAGACTTGTACCGAAACTACTTTCAGACGTTTTGGCAAAGTACCGATCGAAGCAGCTACGGGGCGTCTAGGGCGACTGTTGAACAAACGACGGATCTCTTTCTTGGCCTCGTCGCCATCTCCTCGAATCAGTTGACCGAATGTCAAACCAGAGGGGGCGTTCGCGAGGGAAGAAACCACGTCGTACTTCCCCGAGTGCTCTTGGACGGCGTTCTTCTTACTTGTCCTCTTCTTTCTTGTTCGACGGCCGGGCTTAGGAGGTTTCCTCATGTGGTTTGGAGTCCAGTACTTACGCGGGTTGAGAAGGGACGGGATTGGCTCGCCGCCACCATCCTTTCGCGTCTTGGCCACCGGCTCTTCATCGGCGTTTCTCTTGACTGATGCCACTAACTTCTCATCAGCAGGGAGGTCGTCGTGCGTCACAACACTCACCTGGTTTCCTGCGGAGCCCGTCGGTGTACCCGACACGGCAATATCCGTCTGGGTCTTCTTAGGAGGGTAGGCACTGCTACCTTCCCTCTGTGGACCAATTCTAGCCCAACAGCTTGTCTCTGAATGACCAAATTTTCCGCAGCGAGGGCATTTCGTGTCCCTATGCGGATTCGCATCGCATCTATTAGCGCCATGACCCGGTCGTTTGCAATAAGAACAAGTACGACCGTGGGCGGGGCGGAATGCTGTTGCGTCATCCCTCGACTGATTCTTCTTGATAATAAGGGAAATATCGGCTAGTCGATCAGCTAAAGCGTCAACCTTCGTCTCGAGTGGAGACAAGGGAGCTTTTGAACGCATCATGACCCTTTTTGACCCACCTTGCCCTCTCGGCTCATCCATACCGTGCGAGCTCTCTGACCCCTGGTAGCGCGAATTACTCAAGGAGTTCGCCGCCGCTTGAAAGGCGCAGCGACCAGACCAGAAGTCCATGATTGCATCGAATAGGGCCTTGTAGGTCTTCGCACCTCGATAGATGGCAAACTGGGCCAACTCGAGATGTTCCATCACGGCGTTGCGAAGCAGTCCAAACTTCGCTTCGTCGTTGAATCCCGCCTTCTCGTACAGACGGTCTGAGTTTCGAAGGGACCCACTGAGATCCCCGAAAGAAAGGCGAGCGGCCATCGCATCCCGAATCACATCTTCAGGTGATTCAACCGGGGCGAACCGCTCGACCAAGGCCTTCTTGACCTTCTGGTTGTCGGAGCCATCTGCACTGATATCTCCGTTCTTGACAAAGGCTTGATAAAAGAAGTCGAATGCATCTCCCTCCAGGTAGCGAAGGAGTTCAGATGCCCTTTCTTCGTCCGACTTGCCAGAGGTGGCAACATTCTCGAAGACGAAGAAGAACTTGTGGACGTCGGCCGGCTTCGACCCGTCAAACTGTGACAGGGAGCCGTCTTCTTTGCCACCCCTCCACAACAGTACCATGTTGGCAGTGTTTGAGAGCTGCGCGCGTAGGGGGAGGGAAAAAGAACAAAGAAGAGAAATTTTATTATGTTCTACGTTCTGCTCCCCCCCCCCCCCCAATTATTTTCTTGTGGTGATGTCCTCCCTCTTATACACAAGAAAAGACGGCCTCCACTTGACGGAATAAATGCCTCTTGTCGGGAGATTTCTACTTTGTACACGTGGTACACATGCAGACCAATTATTAAACTACAGATTTGGGTGATGTCTCAGGGTATGTCCTGAGGTATGTCTTGGGGTTTGGCCTGGATATCCCTCACGACACCACCTTCAACAGCTGGCGGCCTTCACCACGCAACAGGCCTGCATTGCTTTCGAAACGGCATGTATCCATGTCCATCCTGTACCATCTTGTACCCTGGGTACAGTATCCTACCTATTCATCGTCAACCCGTGCATACGTCCCATGCATGCATGTCTCATGCCGATAGCATCGCCATGAGCGAAGTAGTGGCGCGCATCAGGCTGCGTTTTGCGCCCACTGACGCTTCCTGAACACAGACCTTTCCTGAAGACAAAATCACCTATTTCCCTCTTTTGTACGCTGCAGAAGATTCCAGTCAGTCGACGCGCCCAATAAACTGCGATTCTCAAAACGAAAACAGACGATCTCCACTAGAGGTACCAACACGCACCGTACAATACAAATGTCTGGTGCCCGCCCGAGAGGATAAACTTTTAAGGCAAGTACAATTTACACACCTAGACCACCAGCTTTGTAATACTGTACCTTCAAGGTACCCAAGGGTACTGTACAATACTGCACCTACAGTATACAGTAGCCTTCACCAAGTGGCTGTGTAGAGGTTATGCTTTCCTCCAAGTTGGTTTGGTGTGACGTCAACACAAATCAACGTTTCATGATTCTTTTCATGTTTTAGGGTGAGTGCGTCTTTCCTCGCTGGAATCACACGAACATTCATTCACGAAAGAACAACCGAAAGCACATCAGCTCATCCTACTGATCCACACGACCGTCGCCACTGTTTCCGCTTTCGTCAACAACGACAAGAGTGCCGCGCGCTGAACGCGGCCTTCAACCTTCGCAACCCTGTTTTCTAACAGCCGGTGCCGTTCTCACGCATAACACACTCCGCACCTCACCAACCTGTCTTTAGCTACTCACAAAAAAATGTAGGAAAGATTCCGGCAAGAGACGGGACCATATAGAAAACGGAGGAAGATGCACTCTACCGATGTGTTCATAAGCCATGCTGGCCCGGACAAGCTACACATCGCACGTCCCCTTTTCGAGAAATTGCAAGCTCATGGTTTAAATTGCTTCCTCGACAAAATCTCGATGGAGCCCGGGGACTGCGGAGGGGATGAAATGACAAAGGCTATGGAGTCTGCGAAGGTCGGTGTTTTCATACTTTCTCCCGAGTTTGCGGCTCGAAAGTGGACGATGAGGGAACTGCGTTGCTTCCTACGCCGACGGAGTGAGGCGATAGGGAGTGGGATGCGACCACCGACATTGATTCCAGTGTTTTACAGACTAAATATTCGTGAATGCAGAGAGTTGGAGCCCAATCGGTATTGGGATGGTGAAGGAAAGAATATTTTTGAAGTTGAGAAGTTTTTTAGCGAGGAACGACAGTGCGAAGCGAGCACGGATACGGTGAAGGGGGAGCTACAAGAGCTGGCAGGTATCACTGGGATTGAAAATGACGAAAGGGCAACAAACCTGCCGGGAGATGCATTCGGCCATCTTGCAAGGGCAAATCTTGTGGAGCGAGTGTTTCTGTGGGTGAAAAAGAAAAGTGAGGAGGACTCAAGTGATGAAGTGAGAGAAGTTTTGAATGCAAGTGGATGTACGCATGATGTGTTCAGGCCCTGTATACTCGCAGAGCACAATCCCGAAGAAATATATTTGCAACTGAATTCTCGGGGGATCGATGGATCACCGAATACGTGTGAGGCGCGGCTAAAGGAGGCCGTGCTAAGTACCGATAGGAATACAAGTATAGGAGCGACGGCAACGGGGAAGGGCGGAGTCGGGAAGACATGCGCTCTTCGAGCGATTGCGCACGACGATGACATCAAGGCTCAGTTTTCAGGCGGAGTGTACTTCATGTCTTTGGGGAAAGACGCCAACGTAGGGCGGCTGATTGAGCAACTGTGTATGGCCATAAAGGCGTCTGGTGGCAAGCAGGTGGCTGCAGAAATGCGAGAGCAAAGCGAGTTGAGCAGGGTACTGACAGAGATGCGAGCATGGTTCAACACACGTGTATGCCTGTTCATTATTGATGATGTGTGGGCCGTGAATGGTATAGATGCGTGTATTCTTCAGAAGTTGTCCACTCTCGCTGCCGCCACAGGAGACATCCGAGAGAGGAGCAGACTTCTGTACTCCACGAGGGACCCAGAGCTGAAACAGGTCGGTAAGCGAGTGACTTTCGAGCCGAGGGAAAGGGAAGGGAGCGATTCAGTTCACATGCTCATGCTCGCGAGCGGGGCGAACCCGGAGGAAGCGAATGATCCGAGGTGCAAAGAGGCCGTGAGCAAAATCTTGAAATTGTGTGCTGGTTTGCCGCTGGCTCTGAACGTAGCCGGGACGGGTGTCAGGTACATGAGAGATAGATGGGAGGGAGAAAAGTCACAAGCGTGGGAGGCATACCTTTCGAAGATGAAGAGCCGCAACACGATTCGTAGTGAGAGTCCAGGGGATGGGTATTTGTTGTCGTTAGACGCGACATTACATGCGTCACTAGAGATTGTGGAGTCCGGCATAGGGAGCGATGCGGAGAGGTTAGGTCAGTTTTCGTTTCGAAAGATACATCGGAGTCTGTGTGTTATGAAGAAGCAAGACGGGATGCCTTTGTCGTTGGTAAGAGATTTGTGGGAGATGGACTACGAATCGGCTGAAAAGTACGCGATTCAGATGGAAAGGGTTGGTTTAGTAGACCTTCATTACGACAAGGATTGTGGGTGGGTACGGATGCATGATCTGACGCACGATTTTGCGGTGCAGGAGGCGCAGAAGGAAGAAAGTGTAACGGTTTAGTATAAGAAGTTGGCAGATGTATGCCGGCAGGGAAGAGGACTGCTTGGTATGACTGAGAGCGAGGGTAGAGAGAGCAAGGATGCAAGAGAGAAGTATGTTTTCGAGAATATATATCGCGTTCTGAAACAGGGCGGGTGTGTGGAGGAGCTGAAGAATCTATTCTTGAGTGCGCGATGGATGAAGGCAGTGATACAGAGAGAAAGTGTGCGGCAATACGAGGAAGCTGTAAAGGATCTCAATAGCTTTTTGAGGAACACGGGGGGAAGCGAGGGCCTTTTAAGGGATACAGGAGAAGGAGATTCGGTGTATGCGATGGAATTGATGATGAGAGCTGCACGACTGAGTGTACCTTTTTGTGGTGAAAGCAGTGCAGGGATTTACTTTCAACTGTACGGAAGAATCAAGCACAGGGCATCAGAATTAGGTAGCGTGCAAAGGATACTCGAGGAAATCGAGGAACACGCGCCACGACCATGGCTGCAGCCTGTGAGTGAATGTGTAGGGCGAGCGGGAGGAAGTTTGGTGGAGCAGATTGTGCTTCCGAGTACCGCTCACGAAGTCGGCATGGACTCAACGGGTGGCGTGTATGGACACTATTCGAACCTGGGCGATACCAGGATCACAGTTTTCACACAGTCTCCGGACAAGGAAACGAAGATGACTGAATTAGGCAACGATTTTGAAACGGGGAGCCGAAAATTAACGTGCGGTTGTGTCAGTATGAGCAAACGCTATGCAGTTATCGGATATGGTGATGGGACACTACAGTTCTGGAGTGTATCGGAAAAGAAAATTTTGTGGACTATCTGCGGTCATGAATCGTGGGTGTGTAGCGTTGCGATGAGTGGTGATGGAAAACGTGCAGTATCTGGATCCTGGGACAGGAGCGTACGAGTTTGGGACGTGGACACAGGACTGCAAATCGGCGACGCATTAACTGGACACACGGGTGGGGTGTATAGCGTTGCGATGAGTGGTGATGGAAAACGTGCAGTATCTGGATCGCACGACAAGAGCGTACGAGTTTGGGACGTGGACACAGGACTGCAAATCGGCGACGCATTAACTGGACACACGGGCGTGGTGTATAGCGTTGCGATGAGTGGTGATGGAAAACGTGCAGTATCTGGATCGTACGACAAGAGCGTACGAATTTGGGACGTGGACACAGGACTGCAAATCGGCGACGCATTAACTGGACACACGGATGGGGTAGCGAGCGTTGGGATGAGTGGTGATGGAAAACGTGCAGTATCTAGGTCGTCTGACGGGGGCGTACGCGTTTGGGACGTGGAGAAAGGGAGTTCAGTTCATCTCGGAAAGTTGAAGGACTGGCGAGATATCGTGGAGAGATTTCTGAATGCAGAGGACGTCTCTCGCACTGGACATCGGCGCAAAAGGCGCAACGTTTTTGAGAGCGGGGGGAAAATTGTGCATGAGCGAGAGGATGGCTCTGAGGCTGTTTTGGTGCAGCTGGAGAGTACGGTAACCTGGTGGGAGGTAGACGATAATCATGGGGTCTTTGTTGCAGCGGCCGGCAACCGGGTGGCTATTATGAAGCTAGTGGTCTAGGTGTGTATAGGTCTAGGTGTGTATATTCTACTTCCCTTGTCCTCTCGGCCAGACACAGACGTTTCTATTGTGCGGTACGTGGTGGCACCTGTGGTGGGGATAGCCTGTTTGGTTTTTTTACATGTAAAGTCTTGAGAATTCCGGTTTATTGACCGCGTCGTCTGGAATCTTCTGCAGCGTGCAAAAGGGAGAAATACGTGAGCTGTCTTCAGGAAACGTCAGTGGGGGCGAAACGCAGCCTGATGCGCGCTACTGTCTCATGGCGATGCTATGGCCCCTGTCCCATGAGCATGAGAAATGCATGGGACATATGCACGGGTTGACGATGAATACGTAGGATACACGATGGAAATCGATTCATCCCGTTTCGTGTGGTGAAGGCCGACAGCTTTTGAAGTTTCTGTGGAAGCGAGCGATTTCCTGCGCAATGGCGGTGGCAACAGGGAGCTCAGGCACGTCCTCAGGAGGTACGGTACCCTTCTCACTCTCTGCCTTCCTTGAGAGAGTGGCACCTTGAGAGAGTGGCACCCTGTTTTGTAGTGCCGTGCTGTTTGCATGCATCCTTACACACGAACAATGAGGTGGCTTTCTGTGCGTACCGTACGTCGCTTCTTTTGACTCGTGACAAAATCAGACGAGGTCCGTCGTGTGTGGCGCTCTGGTTCCATTCACGGATGGGATGTTTTGCCAGGACGTACGGCCCTCCCTCCAGTTCCCGGCAGAAAAGTCACATCAGTCGCTGCCCTATTTGCCTGCACTAGGGTCTAAGCAGCTACGGTGCGTCACTCTCTCCTGTCTCAGCCGGCTTCAACGATAGCAACAAGGGCAAAAAAAGAGCGTCAGGCGCTGTCGTTAGTATGTACACGTCAATAGTTTGTTTTATGCTCCCAAACCAAGGGGGGAGAGAGATGCACAACTGTTAGCGAAAAACACTGGCACTACTATATACACACAGGAGGTTTTTGCCAAGGAGCGACAAAAAAACCACCCTCGAGAGATGCTATCACCGATTCATACCTGGGACGAGCTGGGGCGGCTCCATATCATCTTCGTCCTTGATCCGTCCCTTTACCCGGGGCCGTGCATCCGCAAGCTTCTTGCGGCAGTCGTAACGGATAAGTTTTCCAAACCTGCGCTCTCTGCGCTTTTGCCTAAACCGAACCAAGGCGGCCTCCCTGGTCTTCTTCTTAAACTCGCGTATGGGTTCCTGCTTCTCGTGCTCGATACGGTCCTTCCGCTCTGCCTGGGTCTCGGGCTTGACGGGGCCCTTGGAGCGGTGTTGCATCTGTGCGGTGTGCGCGGACGGCATGAGCATGCCCTGCGGGTAGGCCGGGTGCTGAGCACCGGCAAACAAAACCATGCCTTGTGGGGCATACATAGGGCTCGGGGCGGGCGGGATCATCACTTGTGGGTGCTGACCGATCATGAGCATGCCGTGCGGGTGTTGGTGGGGGTGCGACGTGAGGAAGAAGGGCTGGGCCGGGTGCTGAACGGGAGAACATGCCGTCGGGCATGTCCTCCGTCTCCCCCGTCTCCCCTGACGGCCGCTACCCCGCGAATACGATTGGGTCAGACGAGAGCTTTTTGAGGCTAGGGTGCATCAGCGCGGCGCAGGCATCGGACGTAATGGAGCAGATTGATGACTTGTGCAAGAAGATGACGAGCATTTCGGAGGCGCTGCTCAACGGGGTCGGGTTTCCCGACCACTTGCTCGCGACGATGCGATTGCCGTCGATTTTGCTGTTCACAACGCGCGCAAAACTGTAACTCTTCCCGTAGTTACGACATGTACAGTAAGTACCCTTGGTACTGTACCTGTATGTTTTTAAAAAACTTTAAACTGTTTCTAATTGCAAAATTTTGCCCGCCTAAATCTGGACATAGACTCTATTGGACATGTGGCCTCATATGGACGGGATATGGACGCTAGAGTCTAGCGTCTCTGTACACGCTAGAGTCTAGCGTGTACAGAGACGCGTAGAGGACTGGATAAGTGCCAGGTAGAAAGGTCCTCAGTCCAAACCGGTTGCGCTACTTCAAGAGGGCTGCATGGTGTACTGTGAAGCATCTGGGGGAGTGACCTGAAAGGTGGACTGTAACTTGTTCAAGTTTGAACGCTGTGTGCAATCGGTAAACTAGTCTGAAGGCGAGATCAGGGTGGCGCACAGGCCCCTCAAGAATGAGGGATCTGAAACGAACATGGCCCCAAAAAAAACTGCCCTCGCGATCCTTTTAGCTGAAGAAGTACTGAATTCTTTAGCTGCACAGAGACATATTCAAGCAGATGAACATACACCCACTGCTTGCTGCATCAATACAAGGTTTGTCAAATGCTCGTTAACCACAGCATTGAGCTCATGCCGCCGCTACGTCACATCCCTCTTCTTACATGTACGGAATAGGTGCGACTCGCGAGAATGAAGAAGGGGAGCAATGCGTCTCAAGTCTCCGCCCAGTGAAATGTAGTCAGTTCAATTTATGTAACGTTGTATATCTAGGTTGGTGAAGATTAGTGAAAGAGTTGCAACCTTAATCGTAGAGGAATGCTCAGGTTCTTAGCAGGAGCGTCAAATATGTTCGCCAGCCTTTGTGGAATGGGTGTTTGCAAAGACATGCCAAGGTCATGTCAGGAAACAATGATCACTTTTGCACAAGAGGTACTACGTTGTTTCACCAAATACTTATTTTCCCACAGCATTGCGATTTAACTATGCCTATGAATCGGATTTTAATGCTCCATGAAATACCAAACCACTACTTCGGCAGTTTCCTGAGAGGTAATTCCCACGAAGTCCAAAAGCATGAGAGGATGTGATAATTGCAAAGTAACGTTGTATGCTTAGGAACTGCAGTTGGCGCATTCTGTGTTGGATGTGTTTCTGCTTTCCAATGAGTTCATCAGATGCACTGCTTCTCTTTATTGAAAATCGTCCAATAAAAGCGAAGTTCTTAAGATTGCAATAGTTATGCAGATCGAGCATTTTCGCCACGATGAAAAATGCTGAAGGCTAACCATAATTACTGCAACAGTTAAACCAAGCGCCCACACTCACAGTACTTCTCAATGTACCAACATCTTGAGTAAATAGGAATATCCATCGCTCTCACGTGAACGGTACAAATCCAGAGATTTCCCCATAACCACCACAACTGCATTTCATAAAGAACGCTTACATACATTTACAATTGGCGTGCCTACTATCCCAGTCGATCATGGACAGATCGGCGACCTCGGGGCTTGTCTCGAGTCCGACCTAGCCTATCATGAACCGACCGACGGTCTCTTCTTTCTTCCCGAGCCGAATCGCACTTATCCGGGGATCTGCCCCTTCTCGCGCGCTTTGGCGCAGGACTGCCATCTTCTTCGTCGTGCCTCTCCCGATCCCGTCGACGACGGACTTCGCTTCTTCGGGTCTCTTTCTGGGGGTTTGCATCTTCTGGAGCGGAACTTCGGATTCTATCTTCTTGTAGCTTTGGAGTTTCCTTTTCCAACCTTAATTGACGGATATCAAGCTCAGGATGCCTCCGCTTCTCTTCAGCTTGATTACTAGAAGGTCTGTCTGAGCCATCCGGTCGCAAAAGATGTCTTCCCATTGCATCCCCATTACCATCCTCTGGTTTGCGATGACTAGAATGGTCTGCAGCAATCTTTCGTCTCCCGGAATCTTTTAGAGGCCGTGACGGAGAAGAGCCTCGGGATCGATGCTGATGTCGGGGGCGGCGAGTCTCTCTGTCACGATGCGTCTTGTCGAACCTCGACACATCGGGCGGTGATCGTGACCGGTATCGACGCTCGTGCTTTTCCCAGCTCTCCCGAGGAGAACGAACCCTTTCCCGACGTCCTCTTGATGTAACATCTAATAACTGGTCTCGCTGACGTGAAAATGCATGCCGCCCGCCAGGGGATACATCTCGTCGAAAAGGTTCACGAGACGAACGGCCACGGTCATCTCTTCGTCTCCTTGAAGGGGATGGGCTCAAGGCACGCAAGCCTCTTGGCATGCCGCCATGGACGGGAGACCGGCGTCTCGAATCTTCGAGACCATTCGCATATTCTCGTTCTGCCGGTTCATCGCGTCCTCTGCGCCCCTCTCGGTATCCACGACCTTCATAGCGCTTCCCTCGCGAGGATATTCCTAGGTCTCGAATGGCATCGCGTCGAGGTTCGCCGCGCAGATAGCGATCTCGGCCGTGGGTTGGACTGTGGCGACGTTCACGAGGAGGTGTTCGTCGATAGCGTGACGGAGAACGGTCGCGGGGGCTTTGGCTGGATAGGTGGTGGCGTCTGGACTCCTGAGTGTGACGTCGTTCGAAAGAGTCCTCTTTGTCATTTTCGTATGAATCACGCTTTCTACGCTCGTCTCTCTCCTGCCTATCGTCTGATCTGCCACGGGGAGGACGAGAGTCAGACTTAGAGTTACGTGGAGATTCTATCTTTTCACTGCTGGGATGCTCTAGTCGACGTCCAGGACTCGCATCCAGAGGTAACGTGCCGTTGACGTTCTCCTTTGCAGCAGAAATTCCCTCCGAATTGGATACATTTGGGCTGGGAGAGGGCCCACTGCTTCCGCTGTCCTTCTCGTTGGGCCTCTCACTGGAGTTTCTGGGGTCCTTGTCCATTACACTCCCATGCTTGTCACTATCCGTATGACCAGAGGCCGCTTGGCCATGGTTTGTAGACCTAAATTGCTGAGAACCATGTTGGGTGGCCAGATCCCCAGGGGTCTTGGCTTGGTCACCCGAACCAGTTGGCGGTGGAAACGGTAGCGGCATGTTTGGGGGTATCAGGCCTGGTGGTAGAGGTGGCATACCGCCCTGGCCGTTAGCAGCGGCAGCCATAGCCGCCATGAATATATGCGGTGGTGGCATGCCGGGTGGAAATGGAGGCATACCCACAGGAGGAAAACCTGGTGGCGCACCCGGTACTGGCGGCATTCCTGGCAAAGGAATTCCGGGCGGCGGGGGGTTCTGTCCTCGCCTAGCCTGCGCATTAGTTTTCTTTATATATTGGGCATTACCAGACGCAGCGACAGGGTGAAATCCGTTCAGCTTTGCCGTACTTGGGTCAACATTGCTAGCGACAGTGATTTTTGCCGTCGCAGATTCCTTCGCCTGAACAACAGCCGTTTTTCTCGCTACAACAGAGTCACCAGGTGATTTTGGCATGGACTCAGACCCACCACTGCTGTCCTTCGTAGCTTCACCTGGTGCTGGCTGTGGCGCAAGCCCTGACGGACTTTGATCTGGAGCATCAGATGCCGAGTTGGCTTTGAGCGTCTGCTCATTGCCTGGACTTGCCTCCTCACCGAAGGGGGCTCCCGACGCTTTGGATGCTGCCATTTGCGACATGCGTAAGCCAAAAGTCTGACGAGCAAACTCTTCCTCATTTGGCTGCAATGTGACAAACTGTCCCGAGCTGTCCTGCAGGCCTGTACCTGATTCCGGCGCATCGACGTGCCGGAGCATGCTGCGTGGAATGCCAGTGGGTGCTCTGACTTTGATCTTATCGTAGGTAGGGTCTCCATTCGTCGGACATTGATCAATCCAATGCCCCGGTTGATTGCATCGATGGCAAACGTAATTGGCACTCGGCCTCGGGGCGCGGTCTGGATACATGTTGCTTCCAAACGCCGAGGGCCCTGGGGGTTGGAAGCTGCGACCGCCCCGTCCCCCCCGTCCTCCGCGTCCGCCGCGAGCGCCGCGAAAAGAGCCTCTACCACCGAAGCGGCCACGTGAGGGAGGGTAAGGGAAATTGTCGACGGCGCTGCTAGCTTGGCTGATGAGGGAGTTGATGCGTTCCGCTTCGTCCGAACCCTCAATTGTCTTGGGAAGGTCTTGTGTGGTGTGATCGATGGTGGCTACTTGGTTTGAGGTAGGGTTTGCCGACGGCTTCTCGGCGTAGCGCTCGTTCTTGCCGGCCATGTCCTGATGGGAGAGGATGCCGCCAGGTCGGAGGCCCGGAATGCGACGGACGATGACGGAAGTGTTCTTCTGGACGAGGGCGTTTTCGTCATGATATACTGGAGCGCGGGGTAAGCGTGGAGAAAATGAGGGGAACAGAGTTAAGGTTAGAAGGGCTGGACTTGGTTGGTGGGTAGAATTCGGGGTGATTGTGAAGACGGGAAATGGGACGTACCATCTTTTGTATCTGCATCGCTGATTTCGAGATCGAAACCCTCTCCGAAGTTGAGCTTCTTTCGGGCGACGATAGCGACTTTGAGATCTGCGACTTTGAGAAAATCGCCTTCGAAGGGGAGAGTTTCGAAATCCCTCGCGCTTTTGAAACGAAAATGGACGGAGGAAGTCATGACTGGAATAATGAATGAGGAAGCAGGGATAAAATAGGAAAAGTTGTGGGTTTACTCGTCAGCATATAAGTGTTTGGGGAGCTATATAGCTTGCGGTCGGACCATGGCGATAAGTTGAGTTGCGGCAAGGGTGGGGGAAGTCGCATGTGGCGGGGGGCGAGATGGGTTGGGTTGAAACAGTTGGAAAGCCGCGGGGCGGTCGCAGGTTTCAAAGCAGCGTTCTCGTCACGGGCGCCGGAAGGACTCACAAGGGCACAATAACCTTTGCCGACTTTTTTTCAAATTTATTTTCGGTATCATACGCCGTAACGCACTCTCGACCGGGTCCATCCTTCCTCGAATCCTCGACGCCCTCCGCCTCGATATCCTCTGTAATAGAACTGTAATGCACCATCAAAATGGCAACAACTTTTCCAAATAATTAAAATATTTCATGCACTTTCCCATACAATCGCTTGAATCACCCGCGCAATCCAGCCATCCAGGTCGGGGCACTAAGTCAACTCCAGGTGCCGGTTGCACGTCACCGCGCATCCTTTCGAGTTCGCCAACAGCTCAACCCACCTTCCCTTTCATGCAGAACGACGTCTTCCCCTCCGGCAGTTATGTCTGACCCGCAACGTCCTTATCCACACTCTCCATCCCCCTTTCCCCCGCCCGTCTCACACAGACAAGCCCGCATTCACTACTCCCTTTCGCTTCTCCATTCCCATCCAGCCGTCAACTCCTCAGGTCCCCATGCAGCCTACCGCCCACCCGCGAGCACATGTATCCAGTCATCCCCCGCCAATTCTCAGCAAGTCCCTTCCACCGTCATCAAGGCTCTCTTCAATGACCTTGTACGACGCGAGCTTGGCGTTGACCCATCCAACTCCTCCTCCACGGAGACTGCCTCACGAATCGAAACGCAATTGAGTCGCAACCGCGCCGTCGCTCCAAAGCCCTCTCTCTCAGACCCTGCTTTTGTCGCCCACCTGGCAACTGGTCACAGCCCGACCGCCTTAACAGACCCCAATCTTATTTCTGCAGTCGCTCCACCCACAGTACCGAAGGTCTACTCTCCCTCCGCAGCTCAGATACACCGTGCTATTCAGGAGGCCAGAGAGCAACAACTGGAATTGCACAAGGCACAAAAGGCCACCAAGAGAAACAGAACGGACCTTTCGCCGAAGCGCCCCCGCGGAGAATTGTCCCTAAGGCGCAGTACGAGAAAGAGAACCCGCCGCGATGCACATCTGGAAAATTCCCAATCCGAGGCTAGCGCAAACCCCTCTTCTCCACGTCAAACTGAATTGGGGCCCGCGGACATGACTGCCATGCCTCGGCACTCGGATACCCCACGTCGCACTCGTTCTGCTTCTTGCAGGTTGAGGCGCTCTTCGTCTAATCATACCACGTCCGAGTGCTGCTTTTGTCCGGACCCTGAGTTGTTCGACGGTGAGGAGATCAAAAGCGAGCTTATTGGACCTTTTGTCAACCGCAAGGGACAGGCTAAACTTTTCGTCCACTTCGACTGCGCGTGCTGGGCTCCCCAGGTTTTCGCAGATGCGCAGTCTGGCCAATTACGGGGTGTCTACGACGAGTATTGTCGGGGGCGCAAACTGAAATGTTCAGACTGCGGCGGTCGCGGGGCTACAATCGGATGTTATGTTCAACGATGCAAGCATGTGTTTCATTTCCGCTGCCTTCCGCGATCTGGAGCGCGTCGTGTCGAGCGTTTCTTCGTAGCTTTTTGTGCCAACCATGCGCACCTTGGCGAGAAACAGTCGTACAAGATTTTGATGGAGGCCGCCACTATTGCCGACGTCGCGGAGGCGCATCGCCGTCAGGACACCACATTTGGACTAGATGCGCCCCACTCACGTTACACACAACTGAGACGTCGCGAAACTGAACTCATTTTCTCTCGAAAGTTTGGGATTTGTTCCCATGCAGGAGCTTTCGAAACAAACAAAGTGATATTTTCGCATAAGCGAAGGAAAATCCTGGGAAAGACGGACCGCCTACTGCTCACGGAGCAACCCAGAGCACTGCTCACGTCAGCGTTTGACGTCGCTTCAGGCCGCCTTGCCTATATGTCTGTTGCTGGCAACGACAAGGTTGACAACATGACTGCTGTGGAAGCAAGGGCTGCGCTCGCATCCCGAGAGAAGAGCACCTTATTCCTGTTAAGGAATCTCCGCCGAGCGCCGACTTGGAGCAAGCATAACATGACGGTGGTGAAGAAGTCTGGTTCAGATGCTGCCCCGCCTGCAGAACCTGCTTCCGCAATACAGCATGAACCAAGGTCTCCGGCCCTTTCAAAACTTGGAAGGCAGGGCGAGGAATCTCCAGCTGGTGAAGGTGATAGTATTCATGAGTGCAACGACCACGTACAGTTACCATGTCATCTTGATGAGGGTGATAAGACTGGAACGGACCCATCTGGTGAAAGACGTTCTAAACGCCGGAGGATCAGCACTGGTGCACGTTTAGAGAACGACGATCAGGAAGTGAAGGCTGACGTCTCTGACGGACAATTGCAGTCCGCACCTCTACCAGCTTTCAAGAAAACTCTGCGGACCGCTGAAGCAGAATCGTTATTAGCGCCTGTTGAGCATACAACCCCTGTAAGCGGAGGCGGCGAACAGGTATCCGCAGACATGGAGCTATTGAAGGACTCGCCCACGAGCAAGGCATCACCTGATAGAGCTGCAGCGAAAAAGTCAAACGGAAGCCCCTCGCGTGACAAAAAGCGGAAACTGGGGGGTTTACCACCAAATCTCGTGGCTAGTAGCCGCCAAGGACTAGCTGGTAAAGTGAAATCGGCCTGGGAGACTTTCCTAGAAGAGCAACTGCCAAAGGAACGTATACTAAGGCCTGATGACTCGGAAGTCGAGGCGATGAGGAACATGGCGAGATTGTGGAGCCTGCTGAGTGTTGAGGCGAGAGAGTCGTACGAGGAACGAGCTAGACAGGCTGGTCTGTCGGGCTGTGATGCAGTCAATGGCATGAACACAGCTGACAAGGCCTCACTAAGACCCTTAAAACGTCCAAAACTTTCAAATCGATTGCCGAAGCGCCTCCCGGACCAAGCGGTAGGGCCGCGCGCAGATGACCCGGGCTTGTTTGTGAGCAGCGATCGAGCCCCCAGTAGCTCAACGAATATTGAAGTGTGTGAAACGGCAGTGAAGAAAGGAGTTGGGAAACGACAGCTGTCTGTATCTCTACCGCGGAGATCATGGACTAGCAGAGTGAGCCTGCCTGGAATGGAGCTGCTGGCTGTCGAGTGGGATGACGTATTACCGACCAGCCTTGGTCCCGATGCCGCGAATACTGACACTGATACAGAGAAGGTGCGAAGACCCCCGCCTCGAAATAAGAAAATGTAAGATAGAACTACTAACTGGTCGCCAATAAACACTTATGGCTGTGCACATCAGCGGGACGTACCTCTGCATGGTCACAGTATTTACGTTTGCATACTTTAAGGTACCATTTTAAAGCATCATCTCAATCTTGCGGGAAGAAATATATATGCGTACATGCAGCGCCGCTTATCCATCGTATGTGACGCCAGGGAGACTCTTTGTCAACGACGGGTGTTTGGCCGGTGGTGGTACACAGCGGAAAGAAGAGCCATTTCATCAGCCGACCTCTGCAATCGAATGCTCTCCTCTTTTGCTCGCACATTTTGTTGGGTGCGAAGTGGAACTTCCTCGTCTAGATCTTCTTCGTCATGGTTGAGTACAATGCTGCTTCCAAGAACAAGCCGTTTTGTTTCTTCGTGACGAGCAGCATCTGCAGTTTCGTTTTCTTTTGCGGCGACGGCAAGGGAGCTGGATGCTGGCACCTCGAGGTCTTGCAACTGACTTTTACCTCCTTTGCGCACAAGGACCTTGAAACCAACAGATTGACTCGGACTCCGTCGTTTCATTTTCGTTAGACTGCTGTTCCCCATGCGATCATCAGAATCGTCAGACTCCGAATTCAGATGTAGATTGGCTGCAGCCGCAGCACGAGCTGCCCTTTCCTCTTCCATCTTCTTCGCCATTAGTGACATCGGAATTGCCATGCGATCAAACTTCGTTATCCTTGATGAAGTTGCCCTTGCCGTTTGAACAGCGTCAGCTGTGAACGCGGCAAGTTCCTTTGCGAACGCATCTTCTTCTTCAGTTTTGGGTCGTTCCACTTGCACTTCCACTGAACTATCATCTTCGTCGTCTTCGTCATCAACATCCTCGCATTCATCATGTTCACTATCTTCTCCTCTGTTTCCCTCGCCGTCGATAGCATTGCGAGGAAGCTCATTTTCTTCGGTGAGGTCGTCTCCAGAGAACAGGTCCTCTCTTTCGCCAAGCATACCATTTTCTGATAGTTCGCTGGTTACCCCTTCCGTGTCTGAATCAGCCCCGTCGTTGTTGCTGCCCTCAGAACTGTCTGTCTCAGAAAGGCCGGGCTGTTTTTCTGTTCGAGATATGGAATGAAGCCCTGGAGCATCATTTAGAGAAGCACCAGAACTTGGCCGAGTCCCATTCAGAGGAGCACAATTTTGATAAATATGACGGACTGGGACACATATGAGGACTCTGTCAGAAATAGAGTTCTCGACCTGTTGCACAGCTTCAATTGCTTCGCTTAAAGAAGAGCTACGAAAAAATCTTGCAGAAGGACTGTATTGACGTGTGTGGCTTTGCCCCGACCGAGTCCTAATGAACGTCTCATTTTCTTTGCGCATTCGATTGTCCCTGCCATATCGGCGGTCCCTGAGGAGAATGTTTTCAAAAGCGTCCCCAACCACATGGCTTATGTGCAGCGGAAGCCGATCTCCAAGCCCTGCTTGTCGAGCCTTATAAAACGTATAGCGCTCAAAGAAAATCCAGAAAACTTCAACTTTGCGCCTGTTCGATGCCACAAGAATACGTCCACATGATTCCAGCAGGACGCAGGCTATTCTCACCCGAAAAAAGTCACCAGGGGGATCTGGAGCATTTGTGAAAGTGGAAGTGGGAACGGCGCTACCAGCGCCAGCGCGGCTCAAGGAGGCGCGTTCAGACCGAGATGTTTCATCAGTTGGCAGGATCTGTGTGGATGCCACTTCGGATCTGTCGTGGCCCAAAATGATGCTTTGATAGAGAACGTTATACACCAATCCTTCATCTACAACACCACATTTGTGTAGTTCCCCAAGCAACTGGATTTCTGCTATCCTTCGCTGGCTATCTCTGCCATCGTTTTTCTCCATTCCACATCGTATTGCTTCCAACAAGGCGTCAACGATTCCAATTACCAGACCAGGCTTGAACCTTTGCAACAATGAGATGAGTGTAGAGACATAAGGAATGGTGGAAAACCTCGCTCGAGATATCTTCACGAATTTCTTGATCACATAGTGTTCCAAGTCATCATTCCAGGGTAGCTTCATCAGCTGAGTCTGTGTCCATTTTATATTTGTGGCGTCCAGGCGATAGTATATGAGATGACGGATATATTCATGTATTGGCGGTCGGCTCTTTCGCTTTTGCAACTTGCTGGCTGATGTTGGTTTTGAAGCAAAGTAGGCAGTCTCAACGAGGGCATTGTGGCGAGCTTCCATGTTCTTCACAGACTTCAGGCGCCATATCGTTTCAAGGATATTGCCCATTCTTACATGGGTCGCGGGAGTTCGGTACAGGAAGCGTCCACACGTCTCCAATAGATGGCAAGCAATATCAACCCGATGACCGGTAAAGTCCTTCATGCACAGGTTGAGCAAATCAAACATAGAGCTACTCTCAATAAGGCCAAATTTGACATACTCGCCAACGTACTTCGCATTCTTGATACAGACAGCAAGATTTTTCTCGTCCATATCTGATCGCCCGGCGAGATATCGAAATTCTTCTTCAAGATGCGATGCTACGCTTATTGCAATGTCGCTGAATGAAGGGTACAGACATGCCGCAATCCGACTATACGTAGGAAGCAAATTTAGCTTTTGTGCGGAAACCGAAGAAAGAGACTTTGCTAGACGCTTGGAACCATTCTTTGATGATTCTGCTGTATCGACAAAGTGCGACACAAACGCATCAACGCTTTCCTTCGATTCCACAGTAGAAAGCTGACCAAGTACTTTTTCGACTGAAGCAGGTTTGTCCGAGCCTTTCTGCCGACCTTCCACAGTATTCTTCGCGACAGGCGATTGTCTTGACTCCACTTTTTTCCCACCGGATGATGCCGTCTTTGTTGCTGAATCCGACGCATCTGGTTCGGGAACAGTACCGTTGACGAGGAGCCCAATAGATTTGCCGTCCTCAGACGCACTGCTTCCTTTTTGCTTGAGGATAGGTAACATGGTGTAAAACAATCTCTCTTCCTCCCCGTCGAATGGGCTCTCACCTTGCAGAAGGAAATCGGATTCTTGCACGATACGATTCCGGCCAACATACTGTATTGAGTTAATCGCAGCACCCTGGGCTGTATCCCTCGGGGTACTAGACTCAACTGTGGAACTCGTTCCCTGTGTGATGCTTAAGACGGATTCCGGTAGCCTCTTGCCCAATGCATCAGCCAAGACACGAGCAGAAGCATAAACCTTTTCGTAACCCTGTCTCGCAGATTCGTATGTAGCAGTGGCGGCTTCGTCAGGATCGCCCCGGACATCTTTAGACCGAGTTACAGCGATGTATGCTTTGTCCAATTCCTCTGCGGCCTCAGTCAAGAGTCGATTCACTTCTGCGTCGTAATAAGATTGAAATGCGAGCGTAATACTTCCCTTTGTGCTCTGCGACAGCACACTGTCTCTCCAATCCTCGCCCATCTCTTCCAAGTCATGGGAGGAGGACGACTCTGAGGTTGGCTTTGAAACTTGTGAGAGCATGGTTCGCCCTCCCGTGCGAACAAAGGTTGTGATTATCGACAGATGTGACAGCGACTCATCTCTGGCGTCCTTTTGAACACGTACTAGCTGCTTCAACACGTTTGTAATTGGTGATACATCTGCAACCATACCAAGGACGAATATTTCTACGAGTAATCGCATGGCGGCCTTTCTAGAGCCGACGTCTCTTCCGGGCGCATTATTGGGTTGCGAGAGAATAATGGCTCCTAACGCTGCAACGAGCTGAGTGACAAAATCTTCATACCTTCTGTAAAGCTCTCCGGTTAAGACGGTGGCATGCTCCACGTCGGCGTATCTCAGCTTTGTCTCCGAGATGGCAGCGACGACTTCTGATATGTATCGTGACAAATTGAGAGACTGAGCTTCACGGCATAAAGACGGGAGAGATTCCTCATTGATTCCTGAGGAGCGAATCTTGCGCAAGAAACCGGTGCATTTCTTTAGAGAAGAATCGAGTTGACGCAGTTGGGCATCTGAGGGTCTCTCCTTTTCAGGGGGTTGGGATGGCTTCCGCGGCCTGTACGACAGGTTGAGAATTCTTTGCTGGTGCTGCTTTTCGAGTTGGCGAGCCAAAGTTGCCTCTCGCTCTTCTCGCTCTGCACGCTCTTTAAGTTCGCGTGCTTCCTTTTCTTTTCTTTCCTCTTCCTCTTTCTTTCTTTTCTGTTCATCGATTGCGTTTTGCTTCCCCTGAGCCGCGCGCGACGCCTGCGACGTCTTCGCTTCGTTTTTGAGAGTATCTGCGTGGGGGTTGCTCTGGCGCTGGCGCGAATTATCCCTCACGTTTCGCTGCGGAATAGTAGTAATTCCTGAGGCCGAAAAGGACAAGGAGTCAATGTGCTGGGATTGGAGTGCTTGCGGCGGTTGTTGCTGGTGATGTCCTCGCTGATGTGGCTGGGGTGAACGGCGGGGAGGCCTGTTCGGGTTTGTATTGTTAGGGTCTGTGCGAGACGCGGAGGCGGGACCTCTCCTCCTGCGGCGCCGAGCCCTACCTCCTTCATCCCTCGGGGCTGAGCTCATAGGCGACCTTGGGACTGGCGGCTTCACGGCATGACCGCCGGTTATGGGCGGGGGTACTCTGACGACGGGGGGGTCGGGTGCGTAGGGGGACTGGGATGTGAAGTGGGGAAGTAGAGACGGGGAAGAAGTTTCAGGGTGGAGACATGGCATTTGGAGCGGGGGCCGGGGAGTGGGGAGAAGGAGTTGGGGACGCTGTGGGTTGGTAAGGCATCAGACAGACGGAGCCAAGGGGCATAATCGTCAACTTTGGAGGAAGCGTGTGGGATATCCCTTTTTTAATATATATTTTTAACTTTGGTTCGACTAATACCAATGGCCGATTTCATTACAGTGCCAGCCCTATGATCCGCAATTCGGTACAATACACGTGTAGTTATGATTAGCGCCCTCGTCCGCGATGGCGGCGGCGTACCTTTTCTTCCCCCGCTTTTCCCTCTCTTGTCCAACCCTGCAGCACACCCACTTCATATAGCATGGGAAAGAAGCGGACGAGAAGCACGGCCACGGCCAAGCCTGCCAATGGAGACGCCTTTCACGCTCAGAGTTTCGTCGACGACGTCCGCGAGGCCCGCGATGTCGAATTCGCGGCCCAGAAGAAGCAGCAAGAGCGGTTAAAACGTCGCAAACTCACCGAGGACCTCGAATTGGCCGCCGCCAAAACGGCCGCCAAGGCCACCAAGAAGGCCATCAAGGCCGGCAAACCGCTGCCCTCTGTGTCGCATGCTGATGCGCGTAAAGCAGGCCTGCAAATGTGGAAGCGCGCCGCACTTCGAAGGAAGGCCCGTGCCGGCAACGTGGATGACGAGGACTTTGATGGAGAGATTCAGGAGGATGTCGTCGACTCGAAGACTACGGCAAAAATTTTTAAAGAGGCGAAAGAACAACGCGCCGAAATTCGGGAAGAGAACATCAACTCGGTCGCGGAAGAGGCCGCTCGTAATTGCGCAAGGCTGGATTCCGCTCTGGAGGCAGTCGGAGAAAAGGTGCATGCCACTGCACTCGACGACAGTGATCAGGAATCTGGGGACGACTCGAAAAGTGATGTCCCTTCAGAGGGAACTGCAATCTACGATGAGCGCGAACTTGCCTTTTTGGATGGTAGTAAGGTTACAGAGGAAGACGAAATGGCCTTGGCTCTGTTTACCAACATGGAGAACAAGGGCACGACCAGTGACGAACCACAAGCTGCGCCGGGGACTCGAATGCTGGCAGACATCATTTTGGACAAAATTCGAGAGAAGGAGGAAGCTGATGCACGGGCGGCAGCCATTGCTGCTGACCCGGAACGCGCCGCGAGAGATAAAAGAATTGCAGAGGTTTATGGGCTTGTCGGAAACATTTTGTCAAGATACCGAAGTGGTAAGGTGCCGAAAGCATTTAAAGTGATCCCCAAGCTCCGAAACTGGGAAGAAGTCTTGTACTTGACAAGACCGGACGAATGGTCTTCCGCCGCAGTTTATGCCGCTACAAGGTTACTGGCATCCAACCTTCCAGCACGAGAAGTTATATCATTTTACACGGACATCCTTCTTCCTCGCTGCTTAGAAGATATATCTGAGAACAAGAAGCTGAACTATCACTTGTATCGTGCACTAGCAAAGGCTGTGTACAAACCCGATGCATTCAATAAGGGTATATTGTTTCCTATCTGTGAAGATATAGGATGCACTCTTCGACAGGCAACAATTATCGGGTCTGTGATAAGCAAAGTATCAATTCCCATGCTGCATTCTGCAGCTGCCCTTCTTTACATTGTGCAACTGCCTTACACGCCCTCAAACTCGATTATTATCACGGCATTGCTGGAAAAGAAGTACGCCCTGCCGTACCAGGTGTTAGACGCAGTGGTAGCAAGCTTTCTGAAGATGAAATCGGACACGCGGTCTCCCCCATTGATCTGGCATCAGAGTTTGCTTGCGTTTGCACAACGGTACAAAATGGATGTGACAATGGAACAAAAGGAGAGATTGAAGCTGCTGATGCGGGTACACACGCATTACGCGGTGACACCAGAGATTCGCAGAGAACTTTTCTCATCGCGCAATCGGGGCGATTTGATGGATCCTGATTCGAACACTATCGCACGGAATTTAGAAAGCGCGGCGATGGTTATGTGAAAAGGAGGGCAGAAATACTCAAATTTTGCTAAATAAAGCACTAACGAAGAAGCTCCTCGAACAATGCTGATCAGTGACTGTGCACACTGTGCACACTTCCCATGTTTTGTAAATTGTTTATGTGTAGCGACGAAAGTAATCATACGTAAATCTGGTTAATAACAGGCGAAGCCCCATTCCTGGGAAAAAATCGTATCGATCATGCTAATCTTCTGTGACAATGGGGCAGAAAAGAGGGAAAATGTTAGCCGCTGTTCTTGGTCTTGAAGTGGGTCGCTGGAGTCACACGCGTTGTCGTCTCAGAGCAATAAACAATCCGCACAAATGCCATCTTGTGGCCTTTATAGGCCGGTAATTCCAATTGTAAAAATCTCTTCCTCGACAGATGGCAGCACTGCACATGGGGGGACAGAATGGAGGAGTTAACGTACTAAGAAAGGCAAATGTGGGCGAGAATGTGGCCTTGTTCGTCCTGGAGGCAGCAACGGAGGCTGATGTGAAGAGCGTGTGATCTGAGCGTGGGTAGAGAAGCACATGGGTTTATTTACTCTTTCGCCAGGCAAAAATCTATCATACTGATGGCCGAAGAAAGATCTGAAGATGGATGTCTAACGTGTGTCGTCGGCGTCGCCTCGGAACTGTTCGGATCATTGATCCGAAAAGTTAGGGAAATCTGTTTTCAAGACTTTCTATGTCGCTATATCAGATAATATATTATAGCGACATAGAAAGTCTTGAAAAAAAAGTATATCTATGGTGACATGTGTACCCGCAGGCTCGATTTTGATATACTGTACTTTTTTGTCATGACACCACCATTACAGTATATCTTGTGAGGGGACGCAAATGCGTCAGCCAGGATTTCATTTTTGTTGTTGGAATCGAACCATTTGTTAGGGGTAGGATATTATTCAGTATTTTCGGATTTTAGTATGGAGGACAAGAGTAGGGTGGGGTGCAGAGGGTAGATGACGATTACCTCAAATAAAGGCTTCTTCTTTGAGCGTGCTGTAACAGAATTGAATACAACTAAAGCCAAAATGGCAGTGGAAGTCCACCCAACCGTGTGCTGTCCTCCGCTCTCTGGAGCTTCTCGTTCTGTTCAGACAAACAGGGAATCTTTTGTCAAGTTGAATAATTGTCGTCCTCCGACTCTCATCCGCATGCGTTTTGCAATTGACGTACAGTATCATACCCTTGCTAGTGTACCGATACAAAACAGCAATGTGTTATAGAAGTCTATTTTTCTTTTATTATTCAGTATTATTTCAATAATTTAAAAAGTTAAAATGCAAGGTGCTTACACTTGATTACACTAATTGCATTTTGGGGCGGGCGACCTCCGGAAACAAGAGTTTGGGGGAAAAGACAGGTCAGGGTTGTCGGGGCGAGTCGGGCCGGCCTGACCTGCGCGCGGACGTTTCGACAGCCTGTTAACCGAAATCCGTCCTTTGCGCGAGTGCCACCCGAAAAGCCTGTCTAAAATCCTTCGCCCCTCCAAATACCGTAGCGCGATGACCACGCGCTTCCCCTCCGAGCCCGACCCGCTCTCCGTCGCCTCCTCGGACGCCCTGCCCCCCGTTGACTCCATCCGCTTCACCGAGCCCGCCCTCGACCGCGTCGATGACCCCGCGCGCCACCACAAGGCCCTCGACGTCTCCGTCCTCGACGCCGACCACAACCACGACGACCACGCCCCGCTCCGCGACAGAGATGACACCGATGACCCCATGGAGAGGGACAACGACCCCAACGGCGATAGGCCAGACCGCCACGCGTTGGCCGACCACACTGACGATGCGGCCAAGCCAGACCAAACCGATTCGCGACACCCCGTGATTGACCAGCACCCTTCGCATCCGACTGACAAGCAGGTCCATGCAATTGCTCCGCCTCAAGACCCCACTCACGTCACTCTCGCACTGCCTGGTGACGAAACACCAGACCAAACCCAACCCGATGAAACTGCCACCGCAGAACACGACCACCACCCATCCGACCTCAACGAGCATCTGCACATCCACGCGGGCTCGTCCTCACATCTCGCCGTCCTGATGCCTCCGCACGCGCAGTCGCTAACAGGGCCGCCGGCTATCCACCCGCCAACCCCGCCACAGCCTGTCAAAAAGAAGCGACGGACGTACAACACGGAGGAGGAACGTCGGAAAGCCCGAATTTTGAAAAATAGACGCACTGCAGAGGAAAGCAGGCAACGCAGGATGAAGAAAATGAAGGACCTCGAGGATTACGCTGAGACAGCCGCCATCAGGGAGAAAAAGCTCCAGGAGGAGACTCGCCTGGTCAAACGTCAGCTCGCAGCAATGAGAGATTCTATGGATGAAGTCGTAGCCCAAAAAGAGGCTGAAATTGCTACGAAAGACGCCGAAATAGAACGACTACGCGACGAATTGAGGACTCGCTAAGGAATCACCTGTGGACCCCGTCCTCATGGTTTATTCATCATATCCACATTTTTCTAGAGTTACCGCTCTCTCCTGCCAACTTTTAAGTGCCCCAAACTACTATGTACATACAGTAAAGATCATTCACGTGAGATCCGTGCGAGGCTCGCATATACTTTCAATGCAGGCACGCAGAATTATCGCACAACATCACACCAGTGCCATAACTCAAAAGGGTACGGAGAGCGAACGGTTCCTGATTCACAGTGAACCAGGTTGAATTGTCCATTTTGCTTAAGTAAGAGTCCTATGTTGTGCTTTACTCTCATCTCATTTAAACCAGAAGACAAATGCGTAACCCCCCCGGTAACTGCATCTGGCTCCAGAAAATTAGCATAGTCAGTTTGCACAGTCTTGAGTACAAAGTCACACCTACTGCAACGAACTGAGTAGTGAATCTTCAGTCTTTGGTGGGTGAATGAAAAACGTGACTTTGTCACCGTGCTAAAAAAAGGGAAAGGGAGGACGAAGTGAAGAGCTCGTACCAGCGAGAGAGTAAACATCTACGGGATAAAAAAGATGGTAGATCAAGAGTACCGGTCTGCAAAGGACTAAGTACAAGCAATCCAACCAGAAATGAATGCAGAAACAGAAACGGACACTCTGTGGTCATATATCACGGACCACCTAACTGACGCCAGTGTGCGAGGTTGATCCTTTCCTTCCTAGCACCTTGAGAACAAGAGTCCTCCGCAACTGACCTGCGCTGATAGTCAATACCTGCGGTCCCTGGTCGTAACCCCTCCTGGTTACGCGTTTGTTACCGAGGCATCAGGGGCAGAAGTCAACAGATCCTCCTTCCCGACATCATTCGCAACAGTCGCCTCTCCGCTTTCCATGACGGCCTCCGTTGCGACTTCATCCAAGGCGCCCACCTGTGGGGCGAGATCACTCTGCGCTGGCACTATGGGCGAAGGGGCTGGTGCGGAACCTTTGACTGCAGCCGAATAACAGGCCGTCGGGCGCGTGACTTCGACAGGGGCAGTGGGGGACGGCGACACCGTGGACTTGTCGGCTCCCAACCCAGGGAATGCTGCCGTAGCGTCTCCATTCATAATATCGACAGCCTTCGACTTTGGTTTCTTCTCGCTAACCGGCGCAGATCGCTTCTTCGACTTCTCAGCGGCCATTTGGGCCTTTTCTTCGTCCGTCGGCTTCGGTTTGGAGTCGTAATACGCCTTCTTGGCCAGTACGGCTTCAAGGGCAGCTCGCACCTCGCCCATCTTGTTCGGGGGTGTAATGTCCAAGGTGGCGAACGCGGCGATGTAATCGATCGAATGAGGCTTCAGAGGAGTGTCCCCCGCCTCTGCAGATGTGTCTCCGGATAGGGCAGCGGCCCTGCGAGCCTTTTTGCCCTTCTTTCCGCTCTTCTGCACAAAGTCGCTGAAAAGAAGGTTATCAAACCCGCTGTTTTTGGCGAAACTGGACTTGCCGATCGCTTTGCCCTCGGCGGTGATCTCACGGGTATTGGTCGTGGTCTTCAGAGTGGGAGCAGACTGACCCTTGCCTGGGGCAAGGTTGACAGACGGTTTTTCGACAGTCTCCCCAAGAAGAGTTCGCGTGTAAAGGATGAGGCCGTCGCACATGTCCTTCTCCTCCTGGTACGGATCCGGCTCAGGGTATTGGGCCTGTTCCGCCTCCCACTCCTTTCGACGCTGGTCACGCTCGGCTTGCATAGCCTCTGCCTTCTTCTTCCTCGCAATCTTCTGCTGCTCGAAATGGATACGCTCGTTGAGGTACCACTTGTCGAGTTCGTCCTGAAAGTTGTCACGGAGTTTACGTACGACAGACTTCAACTCATTGATCGTCTTCTTCTCGGCGTCACGATCGACATCCGGGGTGGATTCTTGAAGCTTCTTCATCTTAGAGTCCTGCTCCGCGCGGATTTTGTCAACAACCAGACGCTGTTTGTCTAGCTTTCCCTTGGCCGCGTCGATTTGCGTGTCGAGTTGATTGCGCTCCTCGTCGAGCCGCTTACGGGAGATGACGCGCTGCTCCTTGGCTGCCCGTTCCGCCTGATAGGATTCCTCCTTGCTGTTGATGAAGTCGCGGCCCTTGCCGTTGAGAAAATCAATCTGGGCAACAATTTTCTTTTCCAAGACGAGAGAAACTGACTCAGTTGAATGGCGAGAGTTAAGCTCTTCCACGCGCTTCTCGAGATCCTCCATATTGCGGATGCCCCTGAGGGCCTCCGCGCCGTCCTTGCCGGCACCGACGAAGGCGGAGGCGGCCGAGTTTGCAGCGTTGCGGGCGGCGTAGTCGGCCTCCTTGATTTCTTTAAGCTTTGCGGAGATCTCTTTACGCTTTTCAAAGAGGACGCGGCATTCGTCACTCAACTCATTGAAAGCCTTGCGTGCGGCCTCAAAGGCCGGCTTGCTGGCGTCACGGAGTTTCTGGCACTCATCAAATAGCTGGCGTGAGGAGTCCAGACGGTCGAAGCAGGCCTGAATCTTCTTATCCTCCGCCTCGATCTTTGCCTGCAGATCGGCCTTGATCGGCTCTGGGAGGCGCTTGACGGGGGTGTCCGGGATAGGGTCCGGGAGCGGGAGGCGTTCGCGACGAGGTTTACGATCCTTCTTCGTGTCAGCGGCGGGCTTTCGGGAGGCGTCCGCGACAGGGGGGGCGGGGGCGGCAGTGGCGGGGGTGGTCTTGTTATCGCTCGGGGTCGTGGCCGGGGCGGAGGACGG